AGGATTCTTACTGCTAGCAGACTTAAAGTAAAACACTTGCATTCTGTCAGTCAGTGTACCAAGCACTGTGGCTGTCACAGGTTAGACTCAGTCTTCCCCCACCACCTACCCCTACCAACCCACCAAATGCCCTCCCATTTGGAAAGAAAGGTATGCCTATCTTGCCCTATCAGATCCCTTCCCCAGCATCCTTCCTTTTGGCGTATGGTGTCCTGTTCCTCCACATTTCCATTACCACGTTAGAAGAGGCGTGGTGGCACACGCCTTTAATCCCAGTGTTTGGGAGGCAGAGGCCGGAGGATCTTTGTGAGTCTGAGGCCAGCCTGGTCTACATAGTGAGTTCCAGGACAGCTGGGGCTACAGGGAAATCCTGTCTCAAAAAGACAAAAAAAAAAAAAGATCTAGATCTATTAGAACAACTGAGGGCTTTAGGGTTGGACATGTTTAACCTGCCATGTTCTTGGGTCAGACACAAGCCATTCCATTACCTATTAGCCCAACCTTGGGCATGCTGCCTCAGCTCCTTCTGTGCTTAGTTTCTTCCTCAGTGAAGTAAAGTTTTGGGGACAGAAGTGGGGGCAGGAGAGGGGTTGAGACAGGGTCTCACTTTGCTGGCCTGGAGTTCCCTACATAGACCAGGCTGATCTTGAACTCACAGAGATCCATCTATCTCTGCCTCCTGGGTGCTGGGATCAATGGTGTGCATCCGCCAAGCCTGCCCCATCCTAGGCCTTTTTTGTTGTTTTGGAGACTAGGTCTCCCTGAAGCCTCAGCTGGCCTGGAACTCATTAGGTAGACCAGGCTGCTGACCTCTGCCTCCCCAATGCTGAAATGAAAGGTATGCGCTATCACATCCAGCTCATCCTAGACTCTTAACGAACAGTGTAACCAAGGCTGGCCTTGACCTCCTGATCCTCCTGCCTCCATCTCCCAAGTTTCCAAGTACTGAGATTACCATGCCTAGTTTTCCCAGCTCAGTGTCCTTTTTAAGCTTTTATTTATTTAGTTATTTTGTGTGTGTGGTGTGAATGCGCTTGCCAAGGCATACATGTAGAAGTTGAAGGACAACTTTCTGGAGTCCATTCTCCTACTATGTGGGTCCTGGGGATTGAACTCAGGTCCTCCATCCTTGGTGGTAAGTGCCTTTACTTACTGACCCATCTGGCTGGGCCCCAGCTTAGTGTTTATAATTATTTTTTCCTTAACAGTATCACTTAAATTGTACTCTTGGCCAGTCATGGTGGTCCATGCCTTTAATTATTGTGCTCAGGAGGCAGAGGCAGGCGGGTCTCTAAATTCAAGGCCAGCTTGGTCTACATAGTGAGTTCCAGGTCTATTAGGCCCACATAATGAGACCTTGTCTCAAAAAAAAAAAAGAAAAAAGTATACTCTTATTAAGACAACAGACGTCATGGCACATGCCTTTAATCCTAGCACTTGGGAGGCTGAGGCAGGCAGAACTCTTGAGTTCAGGGCCAGCTTGGTCTACATAGTGAGTTCTAGGCCAGCTAGGGCTACAGGGAGACTCTGTCTCAAAAAGACCAA